TTCTCCTCCGCACAGCCCACACCTCTGTCGGTAGACCACAGGCTCTCAGCTCCAGTTCCCGAGGAGTCAGCAGAGCCGAGTGGTCCTGACGCAGAGCTGGTGGGTTGCCTCATGTACCTGATGACTTGCACTCGCCCAGATCTCGCATACCCTCTCAGCATCCTGGCCTGCTTTGTGGCCACAGGCAGACACTGACCACAGCACTGGTCGGCCGCTAAGAGGGTTTTGCGTTATCTTGCAAGTACATCAGGCATGGGGCTAGTGCTGGGAGGACGCAGACCAGTGGTCCTTACTAGGCACACAGACGCTTCTTGGGCAGACGACGCTGAGACCCTCCAGTCCTCCCAGGGCTACTGCTTCAGCCTTGGTTCTGGTGCCATCTCGTGGAGGTCCACGTGCTCCTCGTCTGTTGCTCAGTCTAGTTGTGAGGCTGAGATCTACGCCGGTGCCATGGCGGCACAGAAGTTCCGCTGGCTGAGCTTCTTGCTTGCCAACTTAGGTGAGCGGCCTAGCTCTGCCCCAGTTCTGTACACTGACAACAGGGCCATGATTCTCCTATGTCAGGAGCCTCGACTTGAGGACAGAGCGAAGCGCATCCAGCTGCGGTACTTCCTCCTGCGCGAGCTTCAGCAGCGTTGCCAGGCCTGCGTAGTACACTTGTCCTTCGGTGCCAACACAGCTGATATCTTTACTAAGGCGCTTCCGCCTAGAGATCATCAGCAGCACTGCTTGCACTTAGGTCTAGTCCCTGTTGACTCTCACTTGCTAGGCCCTTTATTGTGTACTCCTTTCTATTTATGCCTTCCAAACTGGCCTTGTGGCTTTTCCTCCAGTGGTTGGACTAGTAGTACCGCCTTGGTTTGCTCTGTCTTGCGTGTATTCTTGCTGACTGGTCTTCGGGCCCCTGCCTCAGAGGTTGGACTTGTAGTGCCACCCTGAGCTGCGTGCTTCTTGCTCAGGACTACCCCTTATCGATGCTAGGGGGTGTGTCAACTTATACATATATTGTTATGTAGAAGTTATACGCTAGATAGGGTATGTTCTTAGTAGGTACAACCCAAACACTATATCTACCCTGTTCTCCCTTCTTCTATTCTTTCTTTCTAGTCTCAACAGCAGGAACACGCCCTTAGATTGTCGAGAGAATTGTGAACCAAGGGGAAATGTTGAGGGTTACAAAGCTAGGACTACTGTTCGGAATTACGATTCCTTACTAGGGCTCGCCACTGCGAGTACGACGAATAGCGCGGGTCCGCAGGCTTGGCCCTTGGTTCTCGCGCCAAACCAGCCCCTGTCGACCTTTTCGGCCCCAACCTGATCCCGAGTCGCCTCGAACCCATTTTGACCCCGTCACCCTCAGGACTATCGAGCCCTTGACTGGTCCAACCCTCGACATTCAACCTGGTTAACTCGCACTATATAAGCCCTAGGTCTCATTTGGATAGGACAACATTGTAATCACGTTCCCTTCTAGTATTTTGCACTATACTCTGAGATATAATTCATAGCAGCTGGTATTAGAGCTACGTTCCTGCCCATTAGGCTTCTGGTAGGGGAGCAGACCCTATCGGGGAAGGGGGCGGAAGGATGCTGGTGGCGAGCGGACATCGCAGAAATTAATTGCGCGGGCGTTGCCGATGCCGTCAGATCCTGTCCGATGGACGGCCAGGATTGGCTGGTCCTCCCCTTCCCTGGGCGTAGACGGAATTGTTTCCCGTCGAAGAGTGGGCGTCATTTTCGCCATGTTTTTCGGGTATGTTCGTAAGAGCTTTCATATTTTTCGGGTGTTTGGACGGAGTCTTCGGATTGGCTTTTGAAATATAACGAAGGCTTCGTCATGAGGAGACAAGTGCACGGGAGTCCTCAGGCGGCCAGGAGTTGGTTGTCAGGAGCGCGCGGGGTGGCGAAAATGGCGAGATATACGGCGATGTACGTCTGGTGCGCCATGAAGCTGCAGGGTGAACTGTAGCTGTGTCGCGGGTCCCGTCGTTTTCGGCAGGCTAGTTGCAGGTGATGGACGGGACTTCAAAACTGTTTTGGCAATGGGCGGATTTGGAACGACATAATCGCACGAAGACGTGTAGGTGTGTAGTTGTGTGGGAGCAGCTGGGATTAACGACCTTGGCACTATTCACCACGACGCCAATCTGGAGGAGATGACGCTGTGCTGGAGTGAGTGTACTCAGCGACGGCGACTTCCCGCGTGGGGAGGCGTTTTTCGTGGACCTGCGATTCATACCCCCACGATCAACGGAAACGGAGGCCACCACCCCTGGGTGTCTATTAAGTGTTTTTCCACCGATCGACAATAGCGTTAACTATCAGGAGTTGAAGCAGTGGGAGAAGAATGGTGGGTTAGCAGCGTTCGGGCTGCTACTCGCTCAGCTACGTCGCCCGGAAATCACCATTCTCACCAGGTAGTAGTGTCGACTTATTAATCGACGGTTTCTGGCTGAATAAGGGGGGTGAACCTGCAAACTACACTGTGCTCATGGAGAGTCCCCGAAATTTTAGGAGTTAGTGTTGCAGTGGAGCTGAAGGTTTCACCTGGTGCAGCAGAAGGAGTTTTCGACTTTGCGGGTGTAGTTTGACGAGTTTCCGACGGAGGAGGGAGCTGTCCAGCGGTTAGTAGGCGAGCTCGCTAAAGCTCCTCTGACTAGAAGCGTGCGCAATCCTATCTCTGCGGATTCTCCTAGTTAGTTAAGCAGCAGCGAAGCGGTTTTGGGTAACCTGCAGCAGCCGCGAGATGGGTGAACGTCTACACGGCCAGCTGGACAGGGGTACAGGAGTATTTTAGAGTTGGGTAACAGCTGGGTGGAGATCGACGGCGTCTGATGCGCATGGCCAAAACATCATGCCGAGGCAGTGGACTCCGGTAAACCTTAACATAAAGGGTTCAGTTAATGCGTACAGCTGGTGGAGAAACCATGGGGGCGCTGCTAAAGGACGCCGTGGCGCCTGTGCATTTTTACGGTTAGTTGTGCATCGGAGTTATGGTATTTGCTATGTACCGAGTGGTTTCGATATTTTTCAGTGAGTTTGAGGAGTAGTTCGAGCGTTTACAGCTAAAGTTGTGCCCGCTATCTTCAGGGGTACGAGCAACATCGACCGATATTCTCGGATTATTTTGGGTGCATAGAGGAGGAGAAGCGCAGCAGCAGTTTCGGCTCTTCCCGAAATTTTCGGCATGTACGGACAAAGAAGCTGATGCAGCTGGCGACATTCGACCCCGGGTTTTGCTCGAGGATTTTCAACTGGAGTGATTCGGTACAGGTTACAGGTCATCGCCATTGTCGTCTTTGCCTCGCCAACACCCGCTACCACCTCAATTCTCAATTCGCCTACTTGTGAAAACACGACCCCGCCGCATTATTGCCACCCATCCGGAGCAGTATCGTATTACAGGAAATTTGGCAGCAGTACTGTGGAGCTGTGTTGGGGCCAGCTCGCATGCAGTGTTTGACTTCTGAATTTTTTGGATTTCGTATGGGAGTCTTCTGGAGCAGTAGTTGCGGAATTTTCGGACTTTCGGCGCGGTTTACCCTGAAGACACTTTAACTGGAGCGGAGTTTTACAGCGGCATATTGGAAGCTGAGTACCAGAATTTTCAGCAGCGACTACCCTGGAGCATTGGGGTTTATTGGATTTCTAGCTGAGAAATTGGGAGCTGTTTTCTTTTGAAAGGGGGGGGAAGTGCAGCTGTGCTGCAATATTTTGTCAGACCTTGCGGCGTGTTCCATCATCTGTCTTCGAGCATCATTCATCACCGTTACACTTCCACACCTGATTTCGTCACTTCGTTGATGGAGTTTGCTGACTTTCGTGGGACACGGACGCTTGCTCTTGCATGGGACTCGAACGACCTCACGTTTGATGAACGGGTTCTTCATTTCATCAACCATCACGTTATTCGCCCGTCATCATTTCAAGACATTCTGCTGCCATGCGCCATTGTCAATCGACCACTCGACAATTTCACTGTTCATTGTCTTCCTCCAGAGTATTTGCCCTTGCCCGTTTGGTCACCAGAAGAATTCGACCATCTTCAACGGCCGAGATTAAAAGCGATTGTTTCGACGCTTTCTGACCATCGATTTCAGTTCGACCTGAAGACCTCATCAGGCCGGCGTAATCATTACGCTCGTCACAGAGCTTAAGACTTACAATCACTTCGGGGAGATAAAAGGTTCGACCTCGATAAAGGGAGGGCCTTCCTTTAGAATATGGGAGAGTGTAAGGAATTACGATTCCTTACTGGGGCTCGCCACAGCGAGTACCGCGAACAGTGCGGGTCCGCAGGCTCGGCCTTTGGTTCTCGTGCCAAACCAGCCCACGTCGGCCTTTTCGGCCCCAACCTGAACCCGAGACGCCCCGAACCCATTTTGACCCCGTCACCCTCGGGACTATTGAGCCCTTGACTGGTCCAACCCTCGATATTCAACCTGGTCAACTCGCACTATATAAGCCCTAGGTCTCATTTGGATAGGACAACATTGTAATCACGTTCCCTTATAGCATTCTGCGCTATACTCTGAGTTATAATTCATAACAACTACCCTCTAGGAACTGACCTAAATAAGGCTATATCGAATATTAACTAGGTACCTAACCTAGATAATTATATTTGTTGACACACTCCCTAGCAGGGCTCTCACTAGGATTTGGGGCTGTCTGAATATCAGACAAAAAATTTGGTGCCCGTCTGACGATCATCTGAAAATTTTAGACTAGTATGACGTTTGTGACGAAGTTTTCTCCGCAGTCTGTTTTTCAGGCGAAAAAAAATTGCTCGTCTGTGTCACAGGATCGAATGTGTCGAGAATTGCACTATCAATTGATACAAGGCGCTTTTATACTTCCAAGGTACATCAGGTAACCAGGTTTATACGTCGGTGATATAATCATAACAACATGATCAAGAGAAATAGGAAACCAAATGAGATGAGAGAAAAAGAGGAAGGAAATAGAAACGAGATATTGAAAGGGAAATTGGTGTAACGGGGTCGTACTCTCACACTTCCCCCCCTCAAAGCTGGGTGGTAGAAGTAACACCCTGCTTGACAAGGTATTCGCGAAGAGGACGACGAGCGTTACCCATCTCGGATTCAGGAACCCAAGTGTCCTCAGAATGATCATAGCCCTTCCAACGGATGAGAAGCTCCACAGTGCCATTCCGACGACGGCGGTGTGCGAGCATAGACTCGACCTCATACTCGAGGTTCATCATCGACAACGACTGGCGGTGGCGGCGGGGGTTGGCGTTCGGTGAAGACTGTGTTAGGGTCTTGATAGGGCTTCAAAAGTTGGACGTGGAAGGCGTTGTGAATCTTCCAGGTAGCTGGCAGGCGTAAGCGGAAGGTAATAGGAGTGACCCGTGCTTCAACGAGAAAGGGCCCGCAGAAGCGAGGTCGCAGTTTGGATGGGAGATGACTGATGTTGATATGGCGGATGTTGAGGAGAACTTGGTCTCCCACGGTGATGGTGTGGTCAGTGCGGTGGCGATCGGCCTGACGCTTCTGTTGCTGCTGAATGTCGAGAAGGCGCTTGTGGGTCCGATCCCAAAGCTGATGCATGGTTGTGATGAAGTCGTGTGCGGGTTGAATTGTAGCTGATGCTGTCGGTTTTTGTGGCGTGAGCGGGTGGCGTTCGTAGCAGAGGAAGAACGGCGTCTGTCCGGTAGCGGCGTGAGTGGCATTGTTGTAGGCAAACTCCAGGACGGGCAGATGTAAGTCCCATTTAGAGATTTCGTCTTTGCATGCTGCGCGGAGGAGTTGCTCTACAATTTGGTTGAGGCGCTCGGTCTGTCCATCTGTCTGCAGATGGTAGGCGGATGACATGGCGAGTTTGGTCCCGAGCAGAAACATTAGTTCCTTCCAAAACTTGCTGGTGAACTTGGGGTCTCGGTCGGAGATGAGTGTGGTTGGAATGCCATGTTGTGAGATGATGTAGTGAATGAATAGTTGTGCTGTTTCTTCGGTGTGTACTGTCGTGTGTGTCGGGATGAAGTGTCCCATTTTGGAGAATTTGTCGATGACGACGAGGATTGCGTCATGACCGCTAGTGGTAGTTGGTAACCTGGTTATGAAATCCAGGCTAACCACTTGCCATGGCTTTTCTGGGAAAGGAAGAGGCTGTAGCAGTCCTGCTTTTTTCTGCTTGCTGCTCTTCATCCGCTGACAAGTAGCACACGAGGTGACGAATTGTTGGACGTCGGCTGCCATGTGGGGCCACTAGTAGTGCTTTGCAATACCGGTGAGCGTCTTGTTGCTACCAAAGTGTCCCGCGTATAGGACATCGTGGTATTCTTCGAGTAGTAAGTGGCGCAAAGGAGGGTAATTGGGTACCCAGATTTTCGTTGATCCCTTCCGGTATGCGATGTCACTATCCCACAGTAGCAGGTGTCGTTTTGCTGCTAAAGGAATTTCGGGGTCAATGGCATACCCGTGTGTGAAGAGTCCCTTGTGAAGTGGGTTCATCCCTTTGACTTGGATTGCGGCAATATGTGCAGACCGACTGGGAGCGTCTGCTTTGTTTTTGTGGCCGTGTTTGTACACGATGTCATAGTGGAAGCGCGTCTCAAGGAAGTCAATCCACTTGACCTGCTTCCTGGAGAGGTTTGGTTGTGTCTTCAGATATTTCAGGCTGCAATGGTCGGTATAGATGGTTGTTTGTCGTCCTTCGAGATACAGTAACATCTCCAGGTTTTGAAGGCGATGATAATAGCGAGGGCCTCTTTGTCGTGTATCGGGTAGTTGAGTTCTGCCCCGTGAAGTTTCTTGTTGAGGTAAGCGATTGGTTGCAGTCCATTCCCCTGGTCTTGCATCAAGACGGCTCCCACTGCCTGGTCACTGGCGTCAGCTTCGATGACGTAGTCGCGTTCGGGGTCTGGCAAAATGAGTACAAGCGTGTGAGTGCTTGTTTCAGATGCTCCATGGTTTCCTGATGCTTTGGTTCCCACGTACAGTGTAGGGCGTGTTCTTCTTCAGCAGATTCGTGAGTGGCGTTGTGATTTTTACGTACCGCGGCACGAACCTGTTGTAGTAGTTAGCAAAGCCTAGGAGCTGCTGCAACTCCTTCACGTTCTCGGGTGTCTTCCACATGTGTACGGCTTCGATCTTCTTGGGGTCGACATGAAATCTTTGAGCGCTCACCATGTGTCATAGGAATTGGACTTTCTCGAGGGCGAATTCTCTCTTGGATAACTTGACGTAGAATCGTTCTCGTCGGAGAATGTCGAAGACGCGTAAGAGGTCTTGGACGTGTTGCTACATGTCGCGCGAATAGATGAGAATGCCGTCCAAGTACACCACCACGCATTCGTCCAAGACTGGGCGTAGAATATGGTTCATCTCAGAGTGGAACGTTGCTGGTGCATTGGTGAGTCCGAACGGCATTACGAGATACTCATACGACCTGTATCGAGTTCGGAAGGCAGTTTTGTGGATGGAATTGTCCGCCATTCGTATCTGCCAGTATCCGGACCGCAGATCTAGTTTGGAAAATACCGTGGCTCCCCGAAGCTGGTCATGCAGGTCATCGATTCGTGGGATTGGGTATTTGTTCTTGATGGTCTGCTTGTTGAGAGCTCGGTAATCGATGCACATGCACAGGCTTCCGTTTGGTTTCGGTGTGAAGAGTACTGGGGCACCGTATGGTGAAGTGGATGGCCGGATGAGTCCTTTTGTGAGGAGATACTCGATCTGCTTCTTCATGTCGGCTAGCTCCGTGAGGCTGAGCCAATATGGTGCTCGTAAGGTCGGCTTCGAACCTGGTTCTTCCACGATCTTGTGTTGGTGCGTTCGGTATGGCGGCAGCTTGTTCGGAAGGTCGTCGGGAAGAATGTCTTGGAACTCCTTCCGTAATTCTTTGATTTTTTGTGGAGGTTCCGAGGTGTTCTCCCTCCCTTTTTCTACCTCTGTTGCTATCGCTAGGAACCCGGTGTCGGCTCGCTTAACATCCTTCTCGAATCGTGCGAGTGTCTCCACTGGGATATCTCCTGTATCATCCCAGTTGGGTAGCTGGACTCTCCTTCCACTGTTGTAGATGTGTGCGGTACGGTTTACCTAGTTGATCTCGGGGTTGAATCGTTTTAGGAAGTCTCACCCGAAGATCAATTCAAGCCCTTTTATGTTGGTGATGGGGAGTGCAGGTCTCCAGCGCAGTGGTCCGATTTGCAGGTTTAACACTGCTTCGCCATACGCTGGTAACTTTCTGCCGTCCACCATCGTTGCAGAGAATGCTGAAGGCTTGTACTCTTCCCGAAGTCGGTCGATTACTGCCTTGTTGCAGACGGTGTGCGATGCTCCGCTGTCCATGAGTGATTGGAGGCGTCGTCCTCTGCACATGACCTCGAGCACGAGGGGCAGGCGTTGCTCGGAGTACCCAAAGATAGTTTCGTTAATAGGATCATAGTGTACATCCCAATATTCCGTACACACCTTTTTCTTGCTATCTGCTCGTGAGTTAGCAGCTGGCCGGGGCTGCTTGGAGAAGGTATCTCCCTCAAGATCGTGAGTTTTCTTGACGGCGTGTGTCGTTGATGCCGAATTTGCTGAGCTGGATGCATCCGGAGGAGGAGTTTGGGGTTTTTGCAGCTTCTTGTAGACCCCCAGCTTCCTCTTGAGCTGCTTCAGCTCCACCGACGTCTTCCCTGGGAAACGGGTAGTCCTTGTGGGCTGGTGTCGGGAGAGGACATTGACTCCGTGAAAAGGTCGGCTTCTTTCCACGCTCCTTAATTTTGTCCCCAATTTTTCCGGTACCGGTATGATCTCCACAAGTTTCTTCTTCATTTGGAGTCTCTCCCGAAATTTCTCCAAGGCTCTAGCCCCTCGAGAATCATAAGTTTTCATTAAAGCATCTGTATAAGATAACTTAAATGAACCCTTATAATTTCTTGGATCTTCTCGGAGTTTCCTCGTAACGGCAGAGTCCTTTTTCGCAGAGTCAGATTTTTTCTCGGCGATTTTCTCTGGCGAAGACTGGCCGTGGGGTGGATATTTTTCCCTATCATTTCCTCATGATCGCATCGAATCAGCTTCGTTGAAGTTGATTTTCCTGGAATCCGGCGTTGACCATGTCGAACTGTTCTGCTGCCGAAACGACGTCACTGTAGCTCGCGTAGTTTGTCGCTGCTACATGTCGTTTGACTTCGGTCTTCTTCCCTGCGAGATACGACTGTACTTTTTCCCCTTCGGTCAGATCACGAATGTGGTTATAAAATCCCTCCATCTATTGCGTGTACTGTGCTACACTCCCGAAGTGTCGATGGCGATGAATTTTTTCCCGGGCAAGGAAACCCGAATTTATCGGCTCGAAGCGTTTCAACAGGTCGGTGCGGAACTGCTGCCACGTGACTTCGCCGTGGATGAAGGTGCTGTTACCGCCGATCCACTCGAGTGCCGGTCCTCGCATCAGTGTCGCCGCGAGTCGTACGCGTTAACTGTCCCAGACTGGCGAGCTCCATCCGACGGCTGCGTAGTTTATCTCCATGCCGGCGATCCATTTACGGGCGTCGGAATTTCGATCGCTCGGATCGAACGGCTCAGGTGGCCGCGGTTTCGGAGCCTCGAGAAACTGCTGCGGCTGCTGCGTCGTCGCCGTTGTCATGTCATGCTGCGCGCCGGCGAGTCGAGTTACTCGCTCGAACTCGTTTCGCCAAGCTTCGCGATCGGCTCGCATCTCCTCCTCAAAAGCGGCGATGCTCGCGAAGAGCTGCTGGGTAACCTTGACGTTGTCGAATTTCGCCATCCTGTTCAAAATACGCACCGAGGGGGGTGGATTCGAAAAACGCGGAGCTGCTGCTTACCAGAATCGGCGCCGAATTAGTCGCCCCCGGCGCTATCGAAGCAGGTTTTCCCGCTGCTCCTGCTTAGCTGAGCGCGGCTGAGTGAGAAAAGCTCTGATTACCAAGTGTTACAGGATCGAATCTGTCGAGGAAAATTTGCACTATCGATTGATACAAGGCGCTTTTACACTTCCAAGGTACCTCAGGTAACCAGGTTTATCCTATCCAAAGGGAATAGACCCTTTTAGAAATAGAATCACTCTGCGTATAACCACGCGAGGCTATTGGCTTTAAGGGATTACGACGGGATTACCCTGCGTATTGCAAAAGGACTCATCCGACCATCCACTTCGCCATACTCTTCACACCGAAACCGGACAGAAGCCTGTGCATGTGCATCGATTACCGAGCTCTCAACAAGCAGACCATCAAAAACAAATACCCAATCCCACGAATTGATGACCTGCATGACCAGCTTCGGGGAGCCACGGTATTTTCAAAACTGGATCTGCGGTCCGGATACTGGCAGATACGAATGGCGGACAATTCCATCCACAAAACTGCCTTCCGAACTCGATACGGGTCGTACGAGTATCTCGTAATGCCGTTCGGACTCACCAACGCACTAGCAACGTTCCAAGCCGAAATGAACCATATTCTACGCCCACTCTTGGACGAATGCGTGGTGGTGTACCTGGATGACATCCTCATCTACCCGCGCAACATGCAGCAACACGTCCAAGACCTCTTACGCGTCTTCGACATTCTCCGACGAGAACGATTCTACGTCAAGTTATCCAAGAGCGAATTCGCCCTCGAGAAGGTCCAATTCCTAGGACACATGGTGAGCGCTCAAAGATTTCACGTCGACCGCAAGAAGATCGAAGCCGCACACACGTGGAAGACACCCAAGAACGTGAAGGAGTTGCCGCAGTTCCTAGGCTTCGCTAACTATTACAAGAGGTTTGTGCCACAGTACACGAAAATCGCAATGCCATTCACGAATCTGCTGAAGAAGAACATGCTCTGTAAGTGGGAACCAAAACATCAGGAAGCCATGGAGCAGCTGAAACAAGCACTCACGTCCGCACCCGTACTTATCTTGGCAGACCCCGAACGCGACTACGTCATTGAAGCTGACGCAAGCGACCAGGCAGTGGGAGCATTCTTGATGCAAGACAAGGGGAATGGACTACAACCAATTGCCTACCAAAGTAGGAAACTTCACGGGGCAGAACAAAATTACCCGATACACGACAAAGAGGCCCTTGCTATTATCATCGCCTTCAAAACGTGGAGAAGTTATCTCGAAGGACGACAAACAACCGTCTACACCGACCACTGCAGCCTGAAATATTTGAAGACACAACCAAACCTCTCCAAGCGGCAGGTCCGGTGGATTGAATTCCTCGAGACGCACTTCCACTCTGACATCGTGTACAAACACGGCCACAAAAACAAAGCAGACGCTCTGAGTCAGCCTGCACACGTTGCCGCAATCCAGGTCAAAGGGATGAACCCACTTCATAAGGGACTCTTCATACACGGGTACGCCACTGACCCCGAAATTCCTTTGGCAGAAAAACGACACCTGCTACAGTGGGACAGTGAGATCGCATACCGGAAGGGATCAACGAAAATCTGGGTTCCCAATTACCCTCCTTTGCATCAGGTACTACTCGAAGAATACCAAGATGTCCTATATGCGGGACACTTCGGTAGCAACAAAATGCTCACCGGTATTGCAAAACCAAATGAGATGAGAGAAAAAGAGGAAGGAAATAGAAAGGAGATATAGAAGGGGAAATTGGTGTAATGGGGTCGTACTCTCACAGTCTGGGTTGTAATTGCAACAGCGTGGATGCGTACGTCACTACTGTACAGGGTGTAAATTCGTGTCAATTATGACTGGCAGCAATGGTCGGCAATTAACTGAATGACACAATGTGGCTTGATGTCACGTAGGGACACGCCGGAAACCGAATAGGGCCGAAATCGGAGGGAAGAGGGGAGGGGATCAAAACCGAGGGAAGGGGGGAAGCAAAACGATGGGGGAAGGGGGCATCGAAACGGAGGGAACTGTAGGGGGAAAGGAAAACGGAGGGGAGGGGGGAAGCGAGACAGAGGGGGAGGGGGGAGACAGAGCCCTCGCTAACAGGCCTCTGGATAGGATTAGAAGTACTCTTTCTTGTAAGGGTACTCGCTTGGTGCCACTTTTTTTGTAAGGTATATTTTCAAGTTACTTTGCAATATAAGGGTCCTAAATATTTGTACTTTTTACATAAAGGTATAACTCCAGCACAGCCTTACACTTTACTGTAGTTACAGGATCTCGCGTGATCAGACGACTGACAGGTTGTAGATCTGATGTGACGACGTGCCTTGGGCTTCACTTGACAGGGTGCGCCAAGATTTTTGTTTGTTAGCGCTAAAGTGGAGGGAATGCCGCACATCGGTAATTTTGCTGTTAAAATTACGTGGTCACAGGTTAGGGCGTATTTCTGCATTAGTGCGTTCAGTACCAGGGAACCAAACTTCGCGAACTACCAAATCGAACCGAACAGGAATTTGCGTTTTGACCATCGGACCTCACTGTTTCGCGTTTCAGACTGAACTGAACACTTTCTTGTAGAAATACGTCCTCATTCCCTAGACCCTTCCTGGTCGTGACTTGAGTTCCCGTTGTGAGTGATTTATGCGGCACTCATGATTTCGTCAATTTAGTGAGTTGTAGGGTACTTGAGGGGCAGCACAGAGGCTTGGTTAAAAAAGTGCGTCATGCACGGACTACCCAAACGTGAACAGTGTTTGGGCTGCCCAAAAAAATCATAGTTGCCCGACATGCGAGTTAAGGTGTCCCAAACACAATCATTTTTGGAGTTAAGGCTGATGCCGCCCTGAGTGGTCGTGCCCCTCCCGGTTCCTTTTTTTTCTTTGTTCTTTCATTTCTTTAACTAATGTAGTGGCGGATACGACTCTACCGACACGGAGAAAACATTCAAGACAGCCGATTTTGTAACAATGCGCATGACTTCTCGGTTGAGTGGCAGCCATAAAAAAACGTAAACCATTACAGTAGCAGAAGAAATTGATGGCCGGAATCTCCGTCGTACGCGGGCAAGGGCCAGTTAAAAACTCGTGAAGAGATAAATACAATTCGCCGATATTTCGGAGGCGCGACATTCCCTCGCCGAAGTGGGTAGGGGGGAAGAGAATGGGTGACACATCACGTCCAGGGCTTTCTTTTCGTTTCAGGCTACCCTGTAATTTCAAGATAGTTATTCCCCCAAGTCTGACTGGAACACACTTGGCACTGGGGAATCCTCCGGGTTGTGAGGTGTATGGGAGGGCTGTCTCTGTTAGTGGGGGACTTAGCCGAATCCTCTGGGTTGCAAGGGTACTACATGAGGTCTATCTCTGCTAATGGGGGAATTCACCATTTTTTCGGGGTCGCTCGAGGGTTGTGGGAGGAATGCCTTTGGCAGTGGGGGACTTAGCCGAAATCTATAGGTTGCCAAGGGGAGAAATTATTATAGCGGGGGATCGCATGTGTGATTGTGTAAGGGTGATTTTACACAACACTTTTCCGCATCAGGGTCCCTACACTCGACCACTCTGGAAAAACATGGTCCCGTATAGATCTAGTTTTTTTCATAAGGGTCAAAAACTAAACCACTTTTAAAAATAAGGGTCCAATACCTACCCCACCCTTATTATAAGGACCGTAAGGGTATTTTACCCTAATATCCTGAGGCCTGTTCGCAAACCCCTCTCGACGTGATTGGCTAACAGCCCAAGAATTTGTCAGAGTGAGCGTGATTCATATGGTCAGGAAATCTGAGCCGTTAATCGCCCTCGGCTATCGAACGGATGATAATTGTCGAAACGATCGCACTCGATCGTGACCGTCAAATATTGATGGAATCTCAGTTGACCATATGGGCAACTAGCAAAAATTCCCCTAATGGATTGACTGCTGCTAGAAAGTAGCTGTTACATCTCTCCCGCGTCTAGAGGTAAGAACATCGTGGGTATTAGGGGATGCCATTGAGCCTTTTTTTGGGGGGTTGTGGGAGTGTGGGAGGGGGAACATCTGTATAGTAGGACTTAGTTGATTAATTTTTGTTGTTGGGTGTGTGGGGGGAATGTCTGTACACGAGGACTTAGCGGATACTCTACTTGTAGGTTGCTTGGTGTGTGGGGGGAATTTCTGTACAACAGGTCATGGCCAAATTTTGCAAGTTGCAAGTTTTGTGGGCGGAGTCTCTCTGGCTTTTCAGGATTGTAGGCAAACATATACAATTTGCCTCTATCAGAGTTTTCGCGAGTCTACCCAGTTGTCGGTTTCAGACGAAAGTGTACACGCTGTCTGAACTCTCATATGAATTATAACTCAGTGTCTATTTTTTCAGTCGAAATTTAAATATGCGTCTTAACATTTATACGAAATAAATTGGGTGGGCTAACAAATCAGATGAAGCTAAAAAATCGAGTCTGATTTTCAGACCATCAGACCGATTTCGTCTTATATCTCGGGCCGTGCTCCCTAGCCAAGATAGTGGCAGTTCATAACAAAGAAAAGTACACCAGGGCAGCACTACTAGTCTGACCTCTGGTGAGTGTAATAAAAAAACTCAGGGCAGCATGACTAGTCTGACCACTAAGACAAGAGGCCACAAGGCCAGTCAGCAAGTGTAACAAGACAAGCAGGTATAGACCAACAAGTACAAGCAGGTACAGTATGACTCAAGATACAAGAAGTGGTGCTGCTACTCAGGCTAGACCAAGCTGGGTACAGAACCGCTGATGGTCACAAGGCGCAAGTGCCTTGGTGAAGATATTAGCGGTGCTGGCCTCGGAGACCAACTGTACTACACGAACCTGACCGTGCTGCTGCAACTCCCGCAGCAGAAAGTACCGCAGCTGGATGTGCTTTGCCCTGCCCTCAAGTCGAGCCTCCTGGTACAGGAGGATCATAGCCCTGTTGTCAGCAAACACGACCGGGGCAGAGCTATGCTGCTCACCTAAGTTAGTGAGCAAGAAAGACAGCCAGCGGAGCTCCTGAGCGGTCATGGCCCCAGCGTAGATCTCTGCCTCACAACTGGACCAAGCTACAGACTGCACCAGCACCAAGACTAAAACAGTAGTCTTGAGACGACATGAGTGTCTCCAAGTCGTCGGCGCACGACACGTCTGTGTGTCGAGTGAGCACAACTGGCTCCCGTCTTCCTAGCACAAGCCCCAGTCCTGATGTACTCACCAGATACCGCAGTACCCTTTTGGCAGCCGACCAGTGGACTGGTTGGTGCCTGCCTGTCGCGACAAAGCAAACCAGGAGACTGAGAGGGTACGCTAGATTTGGTCGAGTGCAGGTCTTCAAGTACATGAGGCACCCCACCAGCTCTGCGTATGGACCACTAGCCTCGACCGGCTCAGCAGCAACAGGAGCGGAGAGCTTGTGATCCACAGGCACAGGGGTGGGCTATGCTGAGGAGAACTAGAGACTGAACCTCTAGAGGATTTGCTGCACCATATGGGACTGAGAGAGTTTGAACGTATGAGCGGCGCAGTCATGAGAGATCTCCAAGCCCAGATAGCGTCTCAGCTCCCCCAAGTCTGCACAGGTGTGTTTCCTAAGTAACTCGGCCTTCACTGAGGCCAGTGCAACTCTATCAGGAGTAGCAAGTATCAGATCATCTACGTACACTAGAATATAGAACAGTGTCTGACCCATGTGAACAAAGAGAGATGAAACAGTAGAGGACGGAAAGAACTCCAGCTCAACAAGAGTGGTGCGAAGCGTGTCGTGCCACTCATGGGGTGCTTGATGAAGGCCGTAGACAGGACGGCGTAGGCTCCACTCGGTCCCAGGTGGGAAGGATCCAGAGAAACCTAGAGGACGCCAGAAGTAGATCTGCTCGTGCACACTATCCTACAGGAACGCTGTGGAGACAATGAGTGAGTGAAGCTCGTAGTCACGCTGTGGGACTGTGTGAGGAACCCGAAGGATAGTCATCTTCGAGGTCGGGGAGAAGGTCTGGAAGAAGTCCACACCCTCACGCTGACTGAAGCCTCTAGCCACGTAACACGCCTTGAATTTCGACGGCTCTCCAGGTGCGCGCTTCACCCTGTAGATCCACATGCCATCGATTACGTTCGCCCCAGGTGGGGGAACTTCATCGACGTAAGTGCCTGTGGATCTGTAGGATGCCATCTCAGCCTCCATGGCCTGTATCCACTGGGCTGCCCAGGTCCCCAACACCGCCTTAGCGTAAGAGCACGGAACAGGGATGTCAAGAGCGTTTGGGTCGCCCTCTGGGAATACAAGCATGGAGCAGAGATGGGGAACAATGGCAGCAAGGTAGGCCAACTCGTTCTTCCTGTCCTCTAGCACATCAGTGCCAAGGGCAGGTGCACCCCCAACGGACGGAGGACGGGCACTACCAGAGACCAAAGCGGCAGCGTAGTCAAGGCGGTGGTTAGCGGCAAAGTCAGTGACAGTAGCGACAAGCGCATACACAGACTCAGGAGGAGCAGTAGGATCAGTAACAAGCGACGCAAGCAAGCGCGAGAGGGTAGGACGAGCAGTACGAGCAGCGTCAGAGAGAGGAAGGGTGTCACAGGATCGAATGTGTCGAGGAAAGGTTGCACTATCGATCGGTACAAGGCGCTTTTATACTTCCAGAGTACATCAGGTAACCAGGTTTATCTTATCTAAAGGAATAGACCCTTCTAGAAAATAGAATCACCCTGCGTATAGCCACGCGAGGCTATTGGCTTTAAGAGATTACGGCAGGATTACGCTAGATAGCGTGTCTAGAACATTCCATGCCTGGTCGGTGATATAATAATAATAAAGGAAGAAACCAAAGGATAATGGAAAATGAGGAATATGAGGCAAAAGGCGATGAGATAAAAAGAGGAATGAAAGGAAGAGGAAATATGGAAAAGGCCAAGTGGTGTAACGGAGTCGTACTCTCACACTTCCCCCCCTCAAAGCTGGGTGGTAGAAGTAACACCCTGCTTGACAAGGTAGTCATGCAGAGGACGATGGGCGTTACCCATGTCGGTCTCAGAGACCCAGCTGTCCTCAGAAGGATCATAGCCCTTCCAACGAATAAGAAGCTCCACGGTGCCATTCCGACGACGGCGGTGTGCAAGCACGGACTCGACCTCGTACTCGGGTTCATTTTGGACGAGGACGGGTGGCGGCGGCGGCGGTTGGCGTCCGACGAAGATCGTATTAGGATCTCGATGGGGCTTCAGAAGTTGGACATGGAAGGCGTTGTGAATCTTCCAGGTAGCTGGTAGGCGTAAGCGGAAGGTAACAGGAGTGACCTGTGCTTCAACGAGGAAAGGCCCGCAGAAGCGAGGTCGAAGTTTAGATGGGAGATGGCTGATGTCCAGGTTGCGGGTGTCGAGGAGCACCTGATCTCCCACGGAAATGGTGTGGTCGTTGCGATGGCGATCGGCCTGGCGCTTCTGTTGCTGTTGAATGTCAAGGAGGCGCTTATGGGTCCGATCCCAAAGTTGATGCATGGTTGTAATGAAATCATGTGCGGGTTGGACTGTAGGTGATGCTGTCGGTTTTTGTGGTGTGAGTGGGTGGCGTCCGTAGCAGAGGAAGAACGGCGTCTGTCCAGTAGCGGCATGTGTGGCATTGTTGTAAGCAAACTCGAGTACGGGCAGGTGCAAGTCCCATTTGGAGATGTCGTCCTTGCAGGCTGCTCGGAGGAGTTGCTCAACAATTTGGTTGAGGCGCTCGGTCTGTCCGTCTGTCTGCGGATGGTATGCGGATGACATGGCGAGTTTGGTGCCGAGCAGAGACATAAGTTCCTTCCAGAACTTGCTAGTGAACTTGGGGTCTCGGTCGGAGATGAGTGTAGTTGGGATGCCATGCTGTGAGATGATGTGACGAACGAAGAGCTGTGCTGTCTCCTCGGTGCGTGCCGTCGTGTGTGTCGGGATGAAGTGTCCCATTTTGGAGAACTTGTCAATGACGACAAGGATGGCGTCATGACCGCTGGAGGTAGGTGGTAACCCGGTAATGAAGTCCAGGCTAACCACTTGCCATGGTTGTTCTGGGACAGGAAGAGGCTGCAGTAGTCCCGCCTTTTTCTGCTTGCTGCTCTTCATCCGCTGACATGTATCACACGAGGTGACGAATTTCTGGACGTCGTCTGCCATATGGGGCCAGTAGTAGTGTTTGGCGATACCGGTGAGCGTCTTGTTGCTACCGAAGTGTCCGGCGTACAGGACGTCGTGGTATTCTTCGAGTAGTAACTGGCGCAAAGGAGGGTAATTGGGTACCCAGATTTTTGTGGATCCCTTCCGGTACGCGATGTCACTGTCCCACTGTAGCAGATGTCGCTTTTCTGCCAAGGAAATTTCGGGGTCGATGGCGTACCCGTGGGTGAAGAGTCCCTTGAGTAGTGGATTCATCCCTTCGACCTGAATCCCGGCTGAGAGCGTCTGCTTTGTTCTTGTGGCCGGGCTTGTACACGATGTCGTAGTGGAAGTGTGTCTCGAGGAAGTCGATCCACCGGACCTGCCGCCTGGAAAGGTTGGGTTGTGTCTTCAAATATTTCAGGCTGCAGTGGTCGGTGTAGACGGTCGTTCTTCGTCCTTCGAGATAGCATCTCCACGCTTTGAAGGCGATGATGATAGCAAGAGCCTCTTTGTCGTGTATCGGGTAGTTGAGTTCTGCCCCGTGCAGTTTCTTGCTGAGGTAGGCAATTGGTTGCAGTCCATTCCCCTGGTCTTGCATCAAGACTGCACCCACGGCCTGATCACTGGCGTCTGCTTCAATGACGTAGTCACGTTCGGGATCTGGCAAGATGAGCACCGGTGCGGACGTAAGTGCTTGTTTCAGCTGCTCCACGGCTTCCTGGTGCTTCGTCTCCCATTTGTAGGGCGTGTTCTTCTTCAGCAGATTCGTGAGTGGTGTCGCGAGTTTCGCATACTGTGGCACGAACCTGTTGTAGTAATTAGCGAAGCCTAGGAACTGCTGCAACTCCTTCACGTTCTCGGGTGTCTTCCACGTACGTACGGCTTCGACTTTCTTGGGGTCGACGTGAACTCCTTGAGCGCTCACCAAGTGGCCTAGAAATTGGACCTTCTCCAGGGCGAATTCGCTCTTGGACAGTTTGACGTAGAATCGTTCCCGTCGAAGAATTTCGAAGACGCGTCGCAGGTGTTCGACGTGCTGCTTCATGTCGCGCGAGTAGATGAGTATGTCGTCCAGGTACACCACCACGCATTCGTCCAGAAGTGGTCGTAGAATGTGGTTCATTTCGGCTTGGAACGTTGCCGGTGCGTTGGTGAGTCCGAACGGCATGACCAAATACTCGTACGATCCGTACCGAGTTCGGAAAGCAGTTTTGTGGATAGAGTTGTCCGCCATCCGTATCTGCCAGTATCCGGACCGCAGATCCAGTTTGGAAAATACCGTAGCTCCCCGAAGCTGGTCAAGCAGGTCATCGATTCGCGGTAGCGGATATTTATTCTTGATGGTCTGCTTGTTAAGAGCTCGGTAGTCGATGCACATGCGCAGGCTTCCGTCCGGTTTCGGTGTGAAGAGTACTGGGGCACCGTATGGCGAAGTAGATGGTCGGATGAGTCCTTTGGCTAGGAGATACTCGATCTGCTTCTTCATGTCGGTCAGCTCCGTAGGGCTGAGCCGGTATGGTGCTCGGAAGGTCGGCTTCGAACCCGGTTCCTCCACGATCTCGTGTTGATGCGTTCGGTATGGCGGTAGCTCGTTCGGAAGATCGTCAGGAAGAATGTCTTGGAACTCCTTCAGTAATTCCTTGATCTTTTCCGGAGTTTCCGAGGCTTTCTCTCCGTCATTCTCCACCTCTGTTGCTATCGCCAGGAACCCGGTGTCGGTCCGCTTCACATCCTTCTCGAATCGTGCGAGTGTCTCCACTGGGATATCTCCTGTATCGTCCCAGTTGGGTAGCTGTACTCTCCGTCCATTGTTGTAGATGCTTGCGGTGCGGTTCACCCAGTTGATCTCGGGGTTGAATTTTTTCAGGAAGTCTCGCCCGAAGATCAAGTCAAGCCCTTTGATGTTGGTGATGGGGAGTGCAGGTCTCCAGCGCAGTGGTCCGATTTGTAGATGTAGCACTGCTTCGCCGTGTACTGGTAACTTGCTGCCGTCCACCATCGTTGCAGAGAATCCTTAAGGCTTGTACTCTTCCCGGAGTCGGTCGATCATTGCCTTGTCGCAGACGGTGTGTGACGCTCCGCTGTCCACGAGTGCTTGGAGGCGTCGTCCTTTGCAGATGACCTCGAGCACGAGGGGCAGTCGTTGCTCGGAGTACCCAAAGATAGTTTCATTGATTGGGTCATAGGGTACATCCCAATATTCCGTACACACCTTTGTGTTGTTGTCTACTCCTGAGCTGGCAGCTGGCCAAGGCTGCTTGGAGAACGGCTCTTCTCCAGGCCCGGAGTTTCTTTGACGACTGTGCGTGTCACTGATGCCGAAGAACTGGATGCATCCGTAGAAGGAGTTCGGGGTTTGTGCAGCTTCTTGTAGACCCCCAGCTTCCTCTTGAGCTGCTTCAGCTCCACCGACGTCTTCCCTGGGGAGCGGGTAGTCGTTGTGGGCTGGTGTCGGGAGAGGACGTTGACTCCGTGGAAAGGTCGGCTTCTTTCCACACTTCTTAATTTGGTCCCCAAGTTGTCCGGTACCGGTATAATCTCCACAGCTGTCTGCTTCTTTTGGAGTCCCTCCCGAAGTTTCTCCAAGGCTCTAGCCCCTCGAACATCATAAGTTTTCATTAAAGCATCTTTATAAGATAACTTTAACGAATTCTTATAATTTCTTGGGTCTTCAAGGAGTTTCCCTGTCTCGGCAGAGTCTTTTTTCGCGGAGTCGTATTTTTCCTCGGCGATTTTCCCTGGCGAAGACTGGTCGTGGGGTGGAGATTTTCCCCCATCATTTCCTCCTTCTCGCGTTGAATCAGCTTCGTCGAAGTTGATTTTTCCGGAATCCCGCGGCCGCTTTCGGATCTTTTTATTTTCGCCAGCTAGATCCGCAATCACTGGCGACTCCCGTTTTTTGTCTTCTGATTGGCCGAAAGATTTCCGCCACTGTTGCGTGCCCGATACTCTGCGCGTGCGGCCTTCATTTTGTTGCAGTCGAAGATTCGGTGGCCCGGCACCCCGCAAAAATCACACGTGTAGTTGGTGTTTTTCGGACGTGGCCGCCCCTCGAATCTGTCGACTTCCATCGGGTCGGCGAACGTGGGGTGAGCCGAGCGGTCGCCTTGTCGCGTACTGCCGACGTGCGGCCGTCGTGTTCCGGCGTTGACCATGTCGAAGCGCTCCGCTGCCGAAACGACGTCACTGTAGCTCGCGTAGTTTGACGCTGCGACTTGTCGTTTGACTTCGGTCTTCAGCCCGGCGAGGTACGATTGTACTTTTTCCCCTTCGGTCAGGTCGGGAATGCGGTTATAAAATTCCTCCATCTGCTGCGTGTACTGTGCTACACTCCCGAACTGTCGGTGTCGATGAATTTTTTCCCGGGCAAGGAAACTCGAATTTATCGGTTCGAAGCGTTTCAGCAGGTCGGCGCGGAACTGCTGCCACGTGGCTTCACCGTGGATGAAAGTACTGTTGCCGCCAATCCACTCGAGTGCCGGCCCTCGCATCAGTGTCGCCGCGAGTCGTACACGTTGACCGTCCCAGACTGGCGAGCTCCATCCGACGGCTGCGAAGTAGATCTCCATCCCGGCGATCCATCTGCGGGCGTCGGAGTTTCGATCGCTCGGATCGAACGGCTCAGGTGGGCGCGGTTTCGGAGCCTCGAGAAACTGCTGCGACTGCTGCGTCGTCGCCGTTGTCGTCTCGTGCTGCGCTCCGGCGAGTCGAGTTACTCGCTCGAACTGGTTTCGCCACGCTTCGCGATCCGCTCGCATTTCCTCCTGAAGGGCTGCGATGCGCGCGAAGAGCTGCTGGGTAACCTCGGCGTTGTCGAAGGTTGCCATCCTGTTCAAAACACGCACGGAGGGGGTAATTCGAAAATCGCGGAGCTGGTGCTTACCAGAATCGGCGTCGAATTGGTCGCCCCCGGCGGTTTTTTCGAGGCAGGATCCCCGCTGCTGCTGCTTAGCTGAGCGCGGCCGAGTGAGAAAAGCTCTGATTACCAAGTGTCACAGGATCGAATGTGTCGCGGAAAGGTTGCACTATCGATCGGTACAAGGCGCTTTTATACTTCCAGAGTACATCAGGTAACCAGGTTTATCTTATCTAAAGGAATAGACCCTTCTAGAAAATAGAATCACCCTGCGTATAGCCACGCGAGGCTATTGGCTTTAAGAGATTACGGCAGGATTACGCTAGATAGCGTGTCTAGAACATTCCATGCCTGGTCGGTGATATAATAATAATAAAGGAAGAAACCAAAGGATAATGGAAAATGGGGAATATGAGGCAAAAGGCGATGAGATAAAAAGAGGAATGAAAGGAAGAGGAAATATGGAAAAGGCCAAGTGGTGTAACGGAGTCGTACTCTCACAAAGGGGGGACTGCGGGAGCGACGACAGAGGAGGTAACGGAGTACGAGGATGGGATAAACACGAGAACAGAGGACCATTAGGTGGACACTACGACGGGAAGAGATAGAACGAGCACCAAAGAGGCGGCGGACCCAGTGGGGAAGAACTGGGGACTGGGGACGAGGGGGAACGGGGGACAAGTCAGGGGACGGAGGGGAGTGAGGGGGAAAACGAGCCAGAGAGGAGTCCGGAGGAGGAAACAACAGGTCGTAAATAGGGTCACGCACCGGAGGGGGAACGGGCGGGCATACAGGGGAACCTGGAGCAAGACCTAGCAGATGGAGCGCAGACTGCGGCTGCTCCTGCAGCGGTGGCTGCGCGTGCTGCTGCGACTGCTCCCTGTCCTTTCCAGGACCTCCAGCGTCATCGAGGCTACCACCGGCACTCCCCGAGACAGCACCCCCAAGCCGAGCACCCTCGGATGCACCACACACAAAACCAGCACCCCTGGAGTCAGCACCTCCAGAACTCCCACCCTCATAACCAGTAGCCCCAGAGTCAGCACCCCCAAAATTCGCACCCCCAGAACCAGCTCCACCATCACCAGTACCCCCAACCCCAACACCACCAACACCAGCACCCCCAGAACTTGCACCCCCACAGCTCACTGCTCCCTGTTGCTGCTGCTGCGGCCGCTGAGTCTGCTGCGGCGATGGTTGCTGCTGCTGAGGCAAGGGAGGAGGCAACTGAGGTGCCTGGGGTACCGAGGTTGGGGGAGGCGCCACAGGGACAGCAGGCGCACCCCCAGTAGCTTGGCCTCCAGAGTCAGGTGACTCCCCCACAAGCGCAACCGAGGGGAACTGAGTGGCGTGGGAGACA